TATGATAAAAAAGAGAAGCAGAGGAACATAAGCATTTATAGCAAAAGAGGAGAGTCATCATTAATTTTTATAAAACATAAGCCTTTGCCATTGTAGAAAAGGCAGATTTGGACTGTCAACAACAGGAGCAACACAAGTGAATTCCATCCATACCACAAAAAGAAAACAAAAACAACTACCAAAGAGTCATCAAACAGAAGAGATAAACTGAAACTAGTCACTGGTGGATTAGACTAGGGGACACTAGAGGGAGAGGACTTAGAAGCTGCAGCAAGAGTGTTGAGAACGAGATCAATTCGAGCATTGGCCGACATTTGCTCTGCGAGCATTTTCTCCTTCAAGTTCTCAACCTGTTGCCTAAGATCAGCATTTTCTTTGGTCAAACGAGCGACCTCTGCATTTGACCTTGGTGCCTCTTGAGCCTGACTTAGCTGATTCTCCAGAAAGTCATTCATTGCCTTCAACTTCCTAATCTCCTCAGTAGCACTGTTCTAGGCATTGATAAGCTGTGAGATCGTCGAAGTGCTTCCTACCCCTCTACCTTTTTCAACACATTCAGATTCCTCTAAAGTAGTTTGAGAGAAGGTCTGTTTCTTGGTCCCTATCTTGGGCTGTCCCAAAGGCACATCAAAGAACTTGAAAACATGCATGAGAAGAAATCCATAGGGAAGACCATGATTGCCATCTTTGAAGGCTGCCACCTTTTGCATGTGCTCAATCATTATGGCTGGCAGAGTAACAGATTGAAAACCATCCAGTGCTTCCATTAGATACAAATCAGACTTGGATGTGATAGACCTCCTCTCAGCACGAGGTAGCAGGACCTTGTTTACCAACTCAAACAGGAGCTGATACACAGGAAGCAAAGCTTTCTTATGTACTTGTTCCCCCTGCTGGACTGCTCCCTCCTTTACTATTACATGCCTAAAGTTTGAGCCACATACATCCTTAACAGAAGAGATACCGTCAGCAGGGACCTTAAGTATGTCTCCAAGCAGAGCAGAATCCATAACAATATCAACTCCATTGACCAGGGCACAGATATAGCCAGATTCAACAGTAAAGAGGTCTGCATAGAAACTTTGGACCTCATCATCATAGACCTTGGGCACATCCACTTTGAACAGATGTCCCCACTGTTGAAATTTGACCATGTCATGTATTTGCCTCATACCAGCCATCTTAGATATTTCTGGGTCAAATGTGCGACCCCACAGAACCTTCTGGTACCTCAACCATTATTTACCGGACACACTTTCACATTTCACTTCCTTCACAGAACCGGGTTCCTTCACAGTTTCCAACTTTATTTTACTAGACTTCACACTAGACTTACCCTTTCCACTTGATTTCACTAGAATATCCTTATCAGACAGTGACTCTTCAGCCACCACTTGTTTCAACTTGTCACTACTTTCATTGACTTTGTACTAGGCGTTCAACACCCTTTTCTGAAGCATTTTCAGCATATGGTTTCTTTCTCTGAGATCTCTTGACTAAGGAACTTGGTTCCTCTGCAGCTTCCTCATCCACTTCCACGACAGGAATGTTCTTGTGACACACAACCTCTCCATTTTTCACCAGCCTCTTTTTCTTCTTCTTGCTACTCCTTTTACTCTTCTACAAAACAGACTCAAGAGCTTCCTTGTGCTGCAACCTCGTAGTAGGTCTCTTAGGAGAGGGCTCAGGAGTGGCTACTGGCCTCCTTCTAGAAATGAACGCGTCTAGAGCAACATTATCCTGATCTTCTTCATCACTAGACCTCATAGTAGGAGGCAACACTTCCAAAGGCTCAACATCAAAATGAGGAGAAGGGCAAGGTCGAAACTGACCTGGGAAGAAGAGCCCTGACTTGTTTCCTTAGGTGAGGGGTCAGGTCCTTCAAGAGGGGTCCCAGTAGTTTCTTCTGGTGCAGGTTGTTCAAAGAGCACCATTGTTCCTTCTTTCACCAACGACTGAGTCTCTTCCCCCTGAGACTCAGGCATAGTGGAGGTGACCTCATACACTATCCCTTCAGCAGATATGGCCAACATGTTTTCTATGGCCTCTCTCTCTTGAGATTCCATGGGAGGCACAAACTCCGAGATGGGAGTATCTGTAGACTGATCAATACTAACCTCAGAAACCTTTTCTTCCTGTGGGGTCTCACTCTGGTCTCCATCTTTGCTTCGTTCTGTGAGAATCTCATGCGACAGAGAAGAGAGACCACCAATTTTGGGGATTCCAGAGTTCTCAACACTTGGGAGAGAGTGTTATCTGCGGGAGTGATGAGAGTAATAGAGGGTGAAGGAGAATCAGGTTTAGGAGTTTAACTTTCAGTAGTGATAGAAGAGGGAATGGTGAGAGGAGTTTCACTAGGAACGGAGGAGTCAAGGGTTTGCTCTAGAGTTTTCTCGACTATGGTAGGAATGATCGGTTGATCTTCTGTCATGGTAGAGCATGAGTTTGAAAGTTTTGGAAAGGACTGAAGAAAAAGAAAGAGAGAGAGAGAGAGAGAGATGATCGTTCAAGGTGATGAGAGGGTTTTAATGAGAGAAGAGGTAATTATGAGTGAGAGAGAAACCGGTTCTAAAATGGCGGTAGTTTTGTAGGGGAGATGCAATGTTTCAGAGAGAAGTGAAAGGATTTGAATGAAAAGACGTGACATACAGGGTCTGAAAAGGTTGATGACATAACACTCAATTTTTGTTTATTTTTGAGATATGTATGGAAAAAGCACAAGACTACTAACTGTGGTACAAGAACTAGGTTCTTGACCTGTCTTTCAAAAATTCTCAACCCTCTTTTACGCTCATACAGTGCTTCTGCAGCTTCTATAATCATCATGCGTGTCTACCTGCAATGGTATTGAAGTGAGTTAGACTTGGCCGGAAAACACTTTAGCTAATTTTACCTGAGTGTGTTTTTCATAGCCATATGGTACGAATCAGGTTCTCAATTAGGCTTTATTAGCCCCAGTTCCAGCCTGTTTCTCTCAGAGTGTTCTCTGCTCAGGGCTTTGGTGAAGATATCTGCAATTTGATCCTCTGTGCTGCAGAACTTCATAGAGTTAAGTCCCTTTTCCACATTGTCTCTGAGAAAGTGATGTCTCACATCAATGTGCTTGGTCCTTTTATGCTGGACTGGATTTTTGGCCTTGTTGAGTGCACTTGTGTTATCACACAGAAGAGGCACACAATCAGTGTACACTCCAAAGTCTTCCATTCGTTGTTTGATCCATAGGAGCTGAGCACAGCATGAAACTGCAGCAACATATTCTGCTTCAGCTGTTGAAAGAGCTACTGAATTTTGCTACCTTGTCCCTCATAAAATAAGACATTATCCTAGGAAGTGAGCCATTCCATATGTGTTTTTCCTGTCCTCAAGATAACCTGCATAGTCAGCATCAACATACCCAATAAGATTAAATTATCACCTGAAGGGTAATACAGAACCAGGTCCTGTGTTCCCTTCATCACTCTTTGCATCAAATTTTCCAAGCTGATCCTTTCCATTGTTGAGTACATAACATTCGCACCCAAATGTTCTTAACTGAGTCGGCTTGGGATTCCTTCCATTCAACAACTCATAGGGAGTTTTGTTCAAGAGAGACCTGATCATGCACCTGTTCACCAAGTAGTAGGCAGTGTTGACAGCTTCAGCCCAGAAGTTCTTAGCAATCCCACTATCGATCAGCATTGTTCTTGCCATTTCTTCAAGAGTTATATTCTTCCTTTCCACAACTCCATTTTGCTGTGGAGTTCTTGGGGCTGAGAAGTTATGGGTAATGCCATTCTCATTGCAGAATTCATCAAACTTAGCGTTGTCAAATTTTGTTCCATGATCTGATCTAATGCATGCTACTTTTGACTCCATCTTCACTTGAATTTTCTTCACAAAAGCTACAAAAACTTCAAAGGTCTCATCTTTTGTTCTAAGAAATAGAGTCCAAGTGAATCTGGAATAATCATCCACTATCACAAAAATGTATCTTTTTCCTCCCCTGCTTTGCACTATCATAGGACCACATAGATCCATATGAAGGAGATCAAGTGGTTTTGAGGTGCTGACATCCTTCTTTGTCTTGAATGAGATTTCACATGCTTCCCTCTAGCGCAGGCATCACACACTTTGTGCTCTTTGAACTTTGACTTAGGTAGACCACGAACCAGGTCCTTCCGAACCAATTTATTCAGTAGAGAGAAGCTTGCATGCCCCGGTCTTCTGTGCCACAGTTCAACATCATCATCAACTGCTTTCAAGCAACTCTGATCACCACTTTGTAGGGACTCAAAATCAGCAACGTAGATATTCTTGTATCTTTTGGCCACAAGTACCACTTCACCAGTTATTAGATTAGTAACTGTGCATATCTTTGCCAAGAACTCCACCTTGTTTCCTTTATCACATATTTGAGAAACACTCAAGAGACTGTAATTAAGACCATTGACATAGTACACATTCTCAATTGAGTGTGAGAGTGATTTCCAATCTTTCCAACTCCAAGAATGTACCCCTTTTTCCCATTGCCAAAGGATACACTCCCTCCTTGCAGGGCTTTTAGTGAAAGAAAGTTTATGGTATTCCCAGTCATGTGCTTTGAGCATCCACTGTCCATGAACCATTGTTGACTGCTTCCTTTCGCTGTTCTCCGCACAAGGAAATTACGAGTTAGATTTAGGAACCCAAGCAAGATAGGGCCCCTTATAATAAGCAAGAGGATGAATAAGTGCTCTTTTAGTCCATGCAGGTAACATGTATTTTTTGTGAGTGGCACCTGGTCCCTTTTTAGCAGTTACTCTTTCAGCAAAAACTTTATTTTTCTGAAGAGACTGAACCCTGGCTTGGCAATTTTCTTTGAAATGCCCATTGTTCCCACAGTGGGTACACAACTAATTATCAGGTACAGTAACATACTTGCTATGAGGGTTGTAAGGAGTTCTCTCCCTTTGAAACCATATTCCCTGCCTGTTTCCACCATTGTTAACGTACATGGTAGTATTTACATTCGAGGACCAGGTCTACTTAAGAGACTTTTCAAGGTCATTTTTTACTCTTTCCAAATCTGCTTGAAGTTGTCTATTTTTCTCAAGTTCAGCACATAAACTAGTTTTTACAGCATTTAACTCGTTTTCAAGCTTGATATGTGCTTCACTAGCGACTTCTTTTCCTTTATCAAAATTTCTAGGCTTACATTCTGCTTTGAGTTCCTCTATTGTTTCCTTCAAGTCTATAATCACAACTAAGAGGTCATCTCTTTCTTGTTCTAAGGCATCAACTTTCTCCACTAAGTCATTCTTTTCTTTACTGAAATTTTGGATGGTTTCTTTTAAGTCAACAGCTACTACCATCAAATCATCTTTCATGTTCTACACTAGCAATTTTCGTTTCCTTCAAATCAACCACACAAACTACCAGGTCATCTCTAATTTGTTCAGCATCTCCTAACTCTATGGTTAAGGCATCCTTATCATGTACAGGACTATGATAGGCATCAATTAACACATTAGCTAATGACATGAGTTTCTTAGGAGAGTAGGATTTCAAATTTCTCTAAACATCCCTGAAATTTACCTCATCATTGTCATCATCTTCATCATTGTCTGACTGAGCCATTAAAGCAAATATTGAATCGTATTCATTTGCTTCACTTTCAACTGCCATCATAGAACTATCACCTGCATCATTTTCTTCTTCAGACTCACTGGAGGAATCTCCCCATACTGCAAGAGCTTGCTTCACAATATTGTCAGCGGCGTTCTTTCTTTTGAAGCGTTTGTCGGGAACCGGGTTCCTCTTGGATGCTTTATCAGAGTTGTACTTGAAGTGTTATTGCTTTAGGAGAGGGCAATCCTTGATGAAATGCCCTGGCTTTCCATATTTATGACAGAGGTCATAATTCTTTGGTTTGCTGGAACTGCCTCTCTTTGGTATGCCTCCATTCCTTCTGACCATTTTCTGAAACCTTCTGGTTAAGTAAGCCATGTCACTATCCTCCTCACTTGAGTCATTGCTTTCAGCTTTGAGTACCAGGTTCTTTTCATTCTTTGGTTCTCTTCTTTCACTGTCCTTCTCCTTCTTCATTTCGTAGGTTTTCAAATTTCCAACTAGCTCATCTATGGTCAGCTCCTGCATATCCTTTGCTTCAGTAATGGCATTCACTTTACTCTCCCATGAACTGGGCAAAACAACGAGAACTTTCCTCACGAGCTTGTTCCTAGGAATGATTTCACCAAGCGAGTGTAGCTCATTTACGATAGAAGTGAATCTTGTGTGCATGTCTTGAATGGATTCATCGTCCTTCATTAGAAAAGCTCATACTCAGTGGTGAGCATGTCAATCTTAGATTGCTTTACTTGAGTGGTTCCCTCGTGTGTTGTTTGTAAAGCTTCCCATATTTCTTTTGTTGATTGACAATCTGAGATCCTGTTGTATTCATCAGGTCCTATGCCACACACCAAAATTTTCTTGGTAGGAAAGTTTTTCTCCACAACTTTCCTATCTGCATCATTGTATTCTTTTCTATTTTTTGGCATCGTCAATGGAGGGTCTCAGACCTTCTTTGTTGGGACATAAGGACCATCACAAATAACGTCCCACAAATCAGAATCTTCTGCCATGATAAAGTCATGCATTCTTGTCTTACACCACCCATAGTATTGCCCATTGAACCTGGGTGGTCTATATGTAGACTGACCCTCTTCGAAAGTTGGTGGAGCAGCCATGGGGATCCTTTCTAGATGTTAACCTGATAGAAAGAACCTGCTCTGATACCAATTGATAGAATATATGGGTCCAACAAACTATATACAGACCAGGTCCTCTATGGGTTTCCACTGGTAGTGCTAATGAAACAGTAAGTAAATGGAACAAGGAACTTTTACGTGGAAAAATCCTTGCTCAAGGGGATAAAATACCATGACCTACACTGGTAGGATTTCAACTTTACTTTGAGCAACTTTAGATTACAACCTATGCAATCTAGGAATTAAACTCTTAATCCCTCATTAACTTGTAATACACCTATTACTAGCCACTTTGTAATACACCTATTACAAAGACTTCAACTCATGACTAACTCTAGTCACGATACAAACACTGAAGGTTTATGGTTTACAAGGGGTTCCTAAATAAGCTTCTAGATAAGCAAAGTAGGAATTACAATGAAGAACAATTACAAAGTTACAAAACCAACTAAGGACATACAAGATACTTGCTGTAGGAACTGGTCCGTAGTAATGTTGTACTTTGTTCTTGATGCACCTTGAGAATGGAATGCTTGACAGATAAACGGTTCAAGTGCTTGAATGAATTCTCAAGTGTTCAAGTGATGTTTTGTTGTAATTCTCTTTGTTAATACAACTTAGATGACATCACTTGAATGATGTAATCACTTGGTTGGTCAAAGGGGAGTGACTGTTGTACTGTGCTGCACTGTTTGCGTGTACAGTGCAGGCAGTCACTTTCCAGCTGTAGACAATTGACTTCGTACTGCTATCAGAAAAACACAAAGGAATCAAGTCCCTATGTTGATTCTTTTATCTTCTGAAGTCATAGCAACTCATATTAGCTCGAGTCAGTTGATTGAGTTGTGTACCAAGTGTGTCAGGTCCCTTATCTGGTTCTTTGACAGTAAGTTTGTTAGATCGTCAAAACATAAAGCTAAGGTACTGTAAACCCATTACCACAAACTCAAGTAGGGCTGTACAGGTTTGTTTCTTACTTTTCCATGATATAGCACCACCATTAAGTATGAAGGCATAACCGGATGTTGATTTTCTATCATTCCGATCACCAGCCCAATCAGCATCTGTATATCCTCTCAAGTATAAATTATTTCCACTATAATATAGTGAAAAATATGCAGTTCCCTTCAAGTATCTGAAAATTCTCTTCACAGCTTTCCAATGATCTCTTCTAGGATTGGATTGACACCTGCTAACCAGACCTACGACATAACAAATGTGAAACGACCCGACCGGCCGTTTTGAGAATTTAAGCTTCGTTCACCGGCGTAAGGTCTGGAACAACTTCACATTATGTGTATCGACTTGCGTGCATAGTTGAATTCAGTTAACGGATGATTCGGAGTTGAATTGGAAGAAGGATTCTAGTTTTGGAAGCTTGAGCGGTGAGAATTGTTGATACCCAATTTTTTCCGATATATTTTAAATATGCATAAAGACCTTCAAAATAGCATATACATGCATATATAAGCATGCACAAGGTTTCTATAATTTTTGTATATTTTTTAAAGCTTTTTAATTGATTTATTTCCTTCCCTTTTATTCGTAAAACCCACAATAATTATTCCCCGAATTATTATTATGGTGATTTATTCATTTGATTTCTATACTTATACCAAAATGTAATTAATATAATTTTTATGCATTTTTATAATCATTTGGTATTTTTCGAGCTAAATTGCATATAATTGCAATGTTAGCCCATTTTAATGTATAATTATATTTTATATACGTAAAATTGGTCCATATATTTTTAAAATGTTAATTATATATTTTAAATCATTTCGGTATAGAAAGATTATTTTTAGAAACTATTTTATTATTTATTAAATTAAAATAGGGAAAATTGGCTATTTAAATCATAGCCAGATTTGGCTTTCAATTTTAGCCTAGTTGAACCCACTGCTAGCCCAATTTCCTACCCAATTAACCCGATCCGGACCCTATGAACACCTACCCAAACCTGGAACCCATCTGCCCGGTCTAATCCTGACCGTTGATCTCCCAGATCAACAGTCCAAACGAGCCCCAACCTTTTTTAATCCTAAAGACCACAAACCCTATCTCAATTCTGAGACTACGCCGCCCTCAAACTCTCTCATACTCTCTCTTCTCTCAACCTAACCCTAATCCCCTTCAATCGCCGCCTTCTTCTCCGGCCATCTCCGGCAACCACCTTTCAACCCCAAGCCTCCAATGGTCCCTCCATCGCCTTGCTCATCATCTCTGAGGCCTTCAAGGGACCTGGACCATGCCGATTTGGATCTAGGGTTTCTGTTTCTGTTGTTCACAGCTTCTCCGATGTGATTTTGGACAAAATCACACCATATTTGATACGATCTTTGAAGTTTATAGCAGGTTCTTCCCTTTCTATCTGGGTTTCCTTTGAAACCCTAACTTCGTTTGAATCTCTTAGATCTAGGCTATTTTTAACGATTTAAGTCTGTTCCTTTCTATGTTTTACACTATTCTCAAACTTCTTTTGAAGATCATCAACTTTAAGCCGTTTTTACTTTCTTTAAAGTTAGGGTTTCTTAGAGTTCTTCCGCACTCGTTCAAACTGATTTTTTTCTTTATGTTTAAACCTTTTCCTTGCATATCTTGACTGATTCTATGTTCTTACTACTTTTTCAGCTCACCTCTGTTAAAAGCCCTAATTTCTTTTTTTTAGATCTTCTTTGTCTTGGTTTTGTGTGTTAGCCTGACTACTTGATTCTTGCTAAGCTTCTGTGATTACCATGCTTCGAATGGGTTTTACTGAGTCTTTAACCTACCTATATCACCTCTATGTGATTGTATTCATCTTGAGTGTTCATCTCTTGCCTCTTTCTGTCGATATTGCTAGCCTTGCCTGTTTGCTACGTCTGTTTGATCTTCTCTATTTATATGTAGAAGTACAGAATCATGACTCCCTCTTGATTGATTCTGATTTCCTTAGTTGATGGTTTAATTGAAAGATTTTCTTTTAAAACCCTAAAATTCTACTCGTTTGTTTAAATTGACTGATTCCATTACTTTATTTGCTGTAGTACTTTATTTTTATTGAATCATTCCTTAATCGGAGTTTTATTGAACTTAGCCTTAATTGGCTACCCTATGCTTACAGAGTTTTGGTTCTTTCCTTATTAGTCCTGTACTGATTTTCTTCTTCTTGCCTTATACACTACTGGTTCTTGCCGTTTGAATTAGTTCCCTTAGTTAAGGGAGTACTTCTTTGATTTTCTGATTGATTGATTCTGAGTTCCTATTATTATGTTACTATGATTTTTACCTTATTTACTACCTGTTTTCAAACTATAAATACTCTAGTATTTCATTAGCACAACACGAACACCTGGGTTCAAAAACTATCTCTCATACTTTAAAAATCTCTGTCCTCTCTTTTGTGCTATTTGCTATTGCTAGCCGGCTGCAAGCCAAGGCTAACCATTTGTGCTCTCTTGTTCTTTTCATTCTTCTTACTCTCCTCTTTACTGGTATGTCCTAGTTTCAATTCAAGTTCCAACAACAACATGATTCTCTTATTGTTTCAGTTCTTCTTGTTTCTAGTTTGCTTCTATTTGTGGTTCTGTTGTGAAACTTGTATTTAAGAATACATTACTAGCATGTTATCATGTCTTCCCCCCTTCCCTTTAGATTAGTATATTCCCTTTATGTGTATTTCTAAGCACGTCTTACCAGTTGTCTCTTACTTGTTGTATATTTACCATATTATATCCCATGGATCCCAAATCCCTATCACCCATCTATGTGGTTGTGTTCTTCATGCCTGGTTTTGTGACTATGTCAGTGTCAGCTGTTTCTGAGCATGCCTGAACCAGTCCTAGACCTTGATGGATTCTTTGTTTGCAACCAATTGTTCTATGTGTCCCAAACCCCTTGACCCCAGTGTGTGACTCTTGATTTACTTGGTTCTGTAAACTAGCTGTGTTTGGACTCTATTAACTATTCCAATCTTTTTTTTAACAATCTTTACCAAATTTTTTCAAGAAAGGCTTTTGCTAATCACAGTTTCTTACTAAAACCTTTTCTACTTGTGTCCATCACTTCTCACTCTACTCCTAGTCAATAAGTTCTGCCCCCTTTAGTATGTGTACTGCTTTGGGATCCTCTTGAGAACCCTCTGAACTCTGGCATACTGAGGCTGGCCTTTCCACACTGCACATGTTCAATTCTTGGTTGCTATGTCTAGGTGTAAGCACTGCCCGGTATCCTTGAGATCCTTAGGGAACTTTGATGCACCTAGACTATGATTTTGTCTATGGAACTGAGGCATATGAGACCATTGGAGGCTTTGGGAAATCTGGGCCTAGTCGGAGGCTCCCTATAGAATGGCTTCTTGATTTTTTATTTACTTATGTAATTCATTCATTGGTCTGTAATAACTTATAAACAGATATCGGGGTATTTAGTGAAAAGGGGTGGGTAGATACATGTTTTATGGGGTAATTCGAGTAGAAATCATGCTCATAGGACTTTACTTTTAAATCTGTTTGCTCTACTAAGTAGAAATCATGCTCCTAGGACTTCATG